AGAAAAAAAAAGCCCCATCAAATGAGATATGTAATACCACGGATGTAGATTAAATATACACACATAATAAGGAATAAACACAATATGCAAGAGTATTTATTGTTACAAATTTTATAGTGCCCACCCCCTAAAATTCATATGTTTAAAGCCCTAGCCTCAGCATGTAACTGTATTTAGAAATAAGGTTTTTAAAGAAATAATTAAAATAAAATGAGTTTCCTAGGGTAGACCCTAATACAATCTAACTGGTGTCCCTCTAAGAGGAAAAAATTCAGCACAGGCATGTATATACACATAAAAGAGACCACAAGAAGAGAGAGTGAGAATACAGCCAAGTAGAGATACCTCAGAAGCAACCAAATGTCCTTGATCTTGGTCTTCTAGGTCCACAACAGAATATAATTTTTTAGGACACCTAGTCCATGGGTTTGCTCTGGCAGCCCTAGCAAAGAAATACACTTATCAAAGACACACATCAACAGAATATATATTTGTTAATGGCACAGAGGTGAATGGGGAAAGTGAACGTTTCATCAAGTTCTGATGTCCCCCATGAGGACCATATTGATATGTTTTTTGGAATTACCAAATATATAATTTAAAAAAAGGGTCACTTTTATTTATACATGTGCATTCCTGGGTTCCTGAGTATGCCCATCTGTCTGTGGGGTGATCCAACCCTGAAACTGGATTTCAATAGAGAAAGCTGTGTCTGGGTCCTCTGTGGGACTCGGTACTGGGAGACCCAGAGCTGCCTTCTGGATGATAGGCCATGGTGGGGGAGTCTCACAGGGTAGAGCAGATGTTCTGGGGAAGGACAAAGTGGGCAGGCCTCCAGAGATAGGGTCCCATGACTTTCAGGTTTGACTGAGGCATCAGGCATAGCAGAGATGGGGTCTGAGTTAGGTATTATTTTCCATGGCTCCAACAAAATACCCATGGGTATTTAATAAAGATATACCCAAGTATGGATATTTAATAAAGAAAATTTTGTTTAACTCATAGTTTTGGAGGCTAAAAGTCCAAATTGCATGGCTATGGTTCTGGTAAGGGCCCCTTTCACTGCAGCACATCGTGGTCAGAATGTGTTTAAAGAGGGCAACATCACATGGTGAGACAGGAAGCCAGGGAGTAGAGAGAGGCCAGCCTCACTCTTTCAACAACAGCCCAGTCTTGCAGAACTAAGAGGGTCCATGTGAACTACTAAATCTCTTTCAAGGGCAGTGGCCCAAACGACCTGATCATCTTCCATTAGGTCCCATCTCTCAAAGGCCCTCCACCTCTTTATTGTCTCGAGCCATCTGTGGGCTGTGTGTGTGAGCTATGCACATTTGAGCATATGAGTGGACTGGCCTGACATTACTGCCTGATTGGGCTGTGTGACATATGTGTGCTTTTTCTCTTGCTCTGCCTGTGATCCCACACAGCACTTGAGATGGGTGTGGCTTTCTAAGATGTCAATCAATCTGCTGACCACAAGACATCACCCAGCAAGACTTCACCTGTCAAAACCCAATCCCTCGCCTTATTAGGAAGGAACTTTCTACCAAATGGCTTTTTCCCATAAAGAAGGGAGTTTCAGTTTGTGCTTGCTCTCTTGCCTCTTGCCTCCCTAGCTCCCCTTGCCCTCCAGCGTGGGAGCAGAGGTCTCATGGCCATCCTGACCCTAAAAAAAGGTATTTCTGTGTTTGTGTGGTTTTTTTACTTGCCAGCCCAGCCAGCTGGTGACACTTTATGCAGCCACAATGGGAACCAGTGTGAACTCTTGGGGGACAAATCATATCCAAACAGACAGGGATATAGAGAGAAATAAGAAGCCACAGATGGAATTGGTATGTAAAATGAAAGTCAGGGAATGAGAGGAAAGAGATGAACAATAACACAGTCAGTACCTGAGGTAGGCAGAATAATGGTGACTGTCCTCTAAGTCCTGAAAGCCTGGGAATATGCTGTCCAGGTCCAATTCCAAGAGCCCTGAAAACATAGAACTGTCTCTTGCTGGAAGAGGAAGAGAAGGCATACTAGAGACAGGGTAGGAGGGGAAGGGAGAGGGATTCCAAGTATGAGAGTGGATTGCCGGGTCTGAGATGTTGGTAAGCCTGACAGAACTGGAGAAAGGCTTCTTCTCAGTTAGGTGACACCCAGCTACCAGTGAAGACACACGCAGGTCTCAGTCCCAGAAGCCCAAGTGTGGAGAGTTATTCCATGGTCTATCAAACAGTAGTTTTCAGGCTGAGCTTGGTGGCACACAGCTGTAATCCCAGCAGTGCAGGAGGATCACGAGTTCAAGACCAGCCTCAACAACTTAGCAAAGCCCTAAGCAACTCAGTGAGATCCTGCCTCTAAATAAAAATATAAAAAAGGGCTGAGGATGTGGCTGAGTGGTTAAGCAGTCTTGGGTTTAATCCTCGGAACAAACAATAACAACAACAAAGAAAAAAACAACCGTTTTCAGACTGTGCTTAACACAGAGTTACTCCATTTTATAAAGCAGTAATGTGCCATGAGTTACTCCACTTTGAGTAACTCCACAGGTGCCAAGGTAGCATGACTCTACATCTTATTTATGCAAGTAAACAAACAATACTTGATAACTCGTGTCAACTTACCAAATTAAATCATGAGCACATGTAAAAAAAAAAAAAACAGACAATAGCTTGTCAACCTAATCAAACATAACCATCTCATTTAAGATCCATAAAATAAAGTGTATCCCAAGATACAATGTCAGCCTGAAGTGTTAGCTTGAAGTGAGGAGTCATGCATTACTGTCACCAGTAGCATAAACCTCTCTTGAGCTGAAACCCAGGGTCGGAGAGCTAGAGGTTCATCCATGATGCAATTTTCTTGTACAAGATTCAAGACAAGTAAACAGGTGACAGGGTCAGGGTGCCACTGTGTCTATTCTTGGGATTGGTGCTGCCAATCTTAGAAAACTTGGAATGGAATCACCATTTGACCCAGCTATCCCAGTCTTTGGGTATAGACCCAAAGACTTAAAAACAGCATACTAGGGGCTGGGGATGTGGCTCAAGCAGTAGTGCGCTCGCCTTGCATGCATGCGGCCCGGGTTCGATCCTCAGCAGCACCACATATCAACAAAGATGTTGTGTCCACCGAGAACTAAGAAAAAATAAATAAATGTTAAAATTCTCTCTCTCTGTCCCCCCCTCTCTCTCACTCTCTCTTTAAAAAAAAAAAAAACAGCATACTACAGTGATGAAGCCACATCAATGTTCATAACAGCACAATTCACAATAGCTAAACTGTGGAACCAACCTAGATGCCCTTCAATAGATGAAGGATAAAGAAACTGTGGGGCTGGGATTGTGGCTCAATGGTATAGTGCTCGCCTAGCATGCTTGAGGTACTGGGTTCTATCCTCAGCACCACATAAAATCAAAATAAAGATATTGTGTCCACCTAGAACTAAAAAATAAATATTAAAAAAGTATAGTGTCCACCTAAAACTAAAAAATATTTAAAAAAGAAACTGTGGTATATATACACAATGGAGTATCATCCAGCAATAAAAGAGAATAAAATTATGGTATTTGCAGGTAAATGGATGGAGTTAGAGAATATCATGCTCAGTGACGTAAGCCAATCTCAAAAAAAAAAAAAAAGGCTGAATGTTTTCTCTGATAAGTGGATGCTAATCCATAATGGGGGTGGCATGGGATGAATGGAGGAACTTTGTTTGGGTCAAAGGGAAGTGGGGGGTGGGGGCATGGGATAGGAAAGATGGTGGAATGAGACAGTCATCATTAACCTAGGTACATGTATGATTGCATGAATGGTGTGACCCTACTTTGGGACAACCAGAGAAGTGAAAAATTCTGCTCTATTTATGTACAATGAATCGAAGAGCATTCTGCTATCATGTATAACTGATAATAAATTTTAAAAAAATTGTCTGACCACCTTAATCCTTCCTTAGTCTTTCTGTAACCCACACCATTGTGTGAAGTATGATGTGTGACCTGAGTGTTACAGATATTAGAAATTAAGCTTGGAATTGAATAAAAGAATGCATAATTGCCTTGACCATGACACCAAGGGAACCATGAGTATTTTTTGTGAATTAAAGTTGATGTAGCCAGTTACTCTTTTTTTTTTTTT